TCATCCTCAAACAAACTGTAAAAACACACACAGGAGGGTGCAAACACCTTGCGCATTACCACCATGAACATGTATTCGGTTCAAAAACAATTGCATACTCAGAAACATATCTAAAAACAGGAATATCAAACAACTCCAGCCGTAGGTGGTGTCATCTACTCATATACCACATGGTTGGAAGGTCAACGCATTTCAGGGGTTAAACCCCCTTCCTCAGAGCTCAATGTCAAACAACAACTCCAGCCATAGGAGCATTATCTATTCATGTACCACATGGTTGGAAGGTCAATGCATTTCAGGGGTTAAACCCCCTCTCTTAGAGCTCAATGTCAAACAACAACTCCAGCCATAGGTGGTGTCATCTACTCATGTACCACACAGTTGGAAGGTTAACACATTTCAGGGGTTAAATAGCCTTCCTCAGAGCTCCATGTCAAACAACAACTCCACCTGTAGGCGGCATCATCTATTCATGTACCACAGGGTTGGAAGGTTAACGCATTTCAAGGGTTAAATAGCCTTCCTGAGAGTTCCATGTCAAACAACAACTCCAGCCATAGGTGGTGTCATCTACTGTATTCACGTACCACAGAGTTGGAAGGTCAACGCGTTTCAGAGCTTAAACCGCCTTCTTCAGAGCTCTGTATCAAACACCTCCAGCTGGAGGCAGCATCATCAACTCATGTACCACAGGGTGGAAGACTAATGTGTTTTGGGGTTAAACCCCCTTCCTCAGGGCTCCATGTTTGAGAAAGGGATATGTCCGAAATGTTTCAGTAGCACCAGTCGGACACTCTGTCATCATTGTGGGCCATTATTGTGGCGTTTAGGCTTTTGCATGTACTTCATAGTGTGAGCATGTTTTTTGTCTTTTTTTCTTGTACAATAAACCTTGGATAATGCGCTAGGTCTTTGCGCCACCTGTGTGCTTCCTTTCCCATTTCAGGAGTTACACCCCCCTCCTCAGAGCCCCGTATCAAACAACTCCACCCGTAGGCAGCATCATCTATTCATGTACCACAGGGTTGGAAGGCTAACGTGTTTTGGGGTTAAACTCCCTTCCTTAGGGCTCCGTGTCAAACAACAACTCCAGCCATAGGCGGTGTCATCTACTCATGTACCACAGGGTTGGAAGGTTAACGCATTTCAGGGGTTAAACCCCCTTCCTCAGAGCTCAATGTCAAACAACAACTCCAGCCATAGGCGGTGTCATCTACTCATGTACCACAGGGTTGGAAGGTTAACGCATTTCAGGGGTTAAACCCCCTTCCTCAGAGCTCAATGTCAAACAACAACTCCAGTCATAGGTGGCATCATCTATTCATGTACCACACGGTTGGAAGGTTACCTCATTTCAGGAGTTAAACCCCCCCTTCCTTAGAGCTCCATTGCAAACAACAACTCCAGCCATAGGTGACATCATCTATTCATGTACCACACGATTGGAAGGCTAACACCTCTTGAACCCCCTTTCTCAGGTTTTTTGCAGCTCACAACATTCTCGGTTTTGATTGGATTTGTGTGTGCTCTACCAAGTCTAATTTGTGAATGGGAGGTCTGGGTTCAATATCACCACCTGGTGCAGTCTTCTTTTGCTTTTTTTTTTGTTTTTTTATTTTATTCAATAAAGTTTTTGTTGAGTTTTTAAGTTAACACCCCTGCTAACATTGAAAGTGCAAATCTCAAGCTTTTGAATATACCTTGGTGATTGGGCAGACATTCAGAGACGTTTTGTGCTGTTACACTCGTGTGACAATAGAATACAATGCATAGTCCTGGTTAATGTTCCTATTACTGTGAATTGAGAATTTATTCCGTTCATTTTCCTGAAGCCATTGTTTATTAGCCTCAGTATAGTTGGTGAATATACTGCCATCTTGTGAATATTTTGGGTATTACACCATCTTTTTCTGTCTTCTTGTCTGTGTTCCCTCCCACTTGTGATGTATTTCCGCTTACTTTTCACTCTGTCTTTATTGGGATAAATATGTCCACTTATCTCTAGGTCACATGTCATCTGCTTGCATCCGGGAATGCATTACCATGTTCTGATCCGCAAATACCATCTTTTCAATCATCTGCTACATCTTGTTGTCTGCCGTACCTACTGCAGTCAATAAAGATCTCCTTGGATGAGAAAAGGGTATTTGGTGATTTCAGCTATTTGATCAATACTGACCACAGTGATTGTATCTGCTTATACAGGCCAGGCTTAGAGGTCTCAGCGAGGGATAAGTCACCAACAGTTGGAGTCACAATACTTATAGTACATGGGAGTGCAATTTAGGAGCCAAACAATCCTAACAGGACAAAAGGAGGGATGGCAGATAGGCACTGGAGGATTTTCATAAAGAACGAGAATATCAAGGAGAAAAAAAGAGAAGCGCAAAGAAGAAAATGGGGTGAAGGTGCGAGCAGCTGGGCGGGAGGGCTGTGGGAGGGGCTTACGCCACTAATAAGCTCGAGTATGCCATGGCAAGTATTAGAGATGAGCGAATCGAACTTGGCGAAGTGGAATTCGTTTCGAATATTAGGAAAAATTCGATTCGCACCGAATCCAAATTTTAGCAAACTTCGGATGCACGAATCGAATTTTCCCCGATCAGCCGGCAAAAAGTGTCACTGCAGAGAGCTCCGCTATTTCTGACAGTTCTCTGACAGTTCTGACAGTTCATTTACAGCGGTTGAAACATTGTATCTATTTGTTTCCATTTAGGATACAGATGTTTTTATTCGGAAATAAATAGATACAATGTTTCAACCGCTGTAAAATGTGAAGGAACTGTCAGAGAACTGTCAGAAATAGCGGAGCTCTCTGCAGGGACACTTTTTGCTGTACTGGAATTCTTCTTCTTTTCCTTTCTTCTTCTTCTTCTTTTCATTCTTCTTCTTTCTTCTTCTTTTCTTCTTCTTTTCATTCTTCTTTTCCTTCTTCTTCTTTTCATTCTTCTTCTTTCCTTCTTCTTTTCTTTTTTCATTCTTCTTTTCTTTTCCTTCTTCTTCTCCTCCTCCTTCTCCTTCTCCTTCTTCTCCTTCTTCTCCTTCTCCTTCTCTTCTTCTTCTTCTCCTTCTTTCTTCTTCGTGCCCCCGTGACTGCCCAAATGAGTGAAGTGTGCGGTGATTCTAAGATGGACGGCACTCATCTGCATGTCATACTGACTGACAGTATTATTTCTCTTCCCCAGCAGACTCCAAGGGCATTTAAATTAAAGGTACAGTGTTCTGCACTAATATAAAGGCTCTCTGAAGCCTAGAAACCCTTTAAATAAGTTAATTTTGCGGCGAATAAATTCGCATCGAATCGAATTTCTCCCGCAAATTCGGCGAATCAGCCGAATCGAATTTTTGAATAATTCGCTCATCTCTAGCAAGTATCATTGAAGGCCTATTAATTGATGGTCATTTTTTTATATAAATGATTTGGTTCTAAAAGAGATTCCAAAGGAAATAGAAATTGAATGCTGCAATTGTTTCCTATACGTAAAGTTGAATTGTCTTTGGCCACACAGGTGACCAGGAACTCTCACCGGAGAAAATGGTACAACTTTTAAGGTGGCGATACAAATCCCATCTCTAAAAAGCTGTGATTTCCAGCATTCCCTTCTTATAACAGAAGGCATTTACAGTACATGCCGTCACTTCCAGCACAAAACCCAAAAACAAAGATCTCAGCTCATGGGTAAGTAGGCAATGTTTTTTTATTTGGTCCCTTTGGCCCATCTGTCCACCTAGGACCATTGGTGCGCAGCCATAATTGTCCACTATTACCAACTTGCCTACAGCTGTTTCAGGATCCTTTGCCCTCATCAGTGCACGTTATGGCTTTACTGGCTCCATGGTGAGGGTTTGTGAGTCCAGAGGAGTAAGATGCGGCCAATAAACCATTATTGTTATTATTATTATTCACAATTTACTATATACAGCGCCAACAGTTTGCACAATGCTTTACAAAATGAAGGGAGCCGGTACAGCTCTAATACAATTCAGTACAGGAGGGTCCTGCTCACAAGAGCTTGCAATCTATTAGGGAAGGGCAAGTGATACGAAAGGTAATAACTGTGAGTTGATGGAGAAAGTAAAAGTTCGGTTCTTAGGTGGAGTTAGGATAGGCTTCCCTAAAGAGATGGGTTTTCAGAAGTCACCAAAGAAGTGCATAGATTAGGAGACTGCCAGACAAATTCCAGTAGAGAGTTCAGGAGGATGGAAGAAGCTGGAGAAATCCTGGAGGCAAGCATGGGAGGAAGATCTAGAGATCAGGAGGTCTTGGGGAGGAGCGGAGAGGATGGTTTGGGTAACATTTTGAGATCAGGTTGCTGAGGTAGCTCTGGGCAGAGTTGTGGATGGCTTTGCTTGCTGTAGTTAGTATTCTGAATTACATTCATTGGGTGAGTGAAAGCCAGTTAAGGGATTGGCAGAGAGGGGTGGAGGACACTGAGTGGAGGCCAGTGGAGGGATTGGCAGAGAGGGGTGGAGGACACTGAGCAGAGGCCTGTAGAGGGATTGGCAGAGATTTGGAGGACACTGAATGGAGGCCAGTGGAGGGATTGGCAGAGAGGGGTGGAGGACACTGAATGGAGGTCATTGGAGGGATTGGCACAGAGGGGTGGAGGACACTGAATGAAGCCAGTGGAGGGATTGGCAGAGAGGAGTGGAAGACACTGAATAGAGGCCTGTGGAGGAATTGGCAGAAAGGGTTGGAGGACAATGAATGGAGGCCAGTGGAGTGATTAGCAGAGAGGGGTTGAGGACAATGAATGAAGCCAGTGGAGAGATTGGCAGAGAGGGCTGGAGGACAAGGAATGAAGCCGGGGAGGGATGGATTGGCAGAGAGAGGTGGAGGAAATTGAATGGAGGCCAGTTGAGTTATTGGCAGGAAGGGGTGGAGGACAATGAATGAAGCCAGTGGAGAGATTGGCAGAGAGGGCTGGAGGACAAGGAATGAAGCTGGGGAGGGATGGATTGGCAGAGAGAGGTGGAGGAAATTGAATGGAGGCCAGTTGAGCTATTGGCAGGAAGGGTGGAGGACAATGAATGAAGCTGGTGGAGGGATTGGCAGAGAGGGGTGGAGGACACCAAACGGAGGCCAGTGGAGGTATTGGCAGGAAGGGGTGGAGGACAATGAATGAAGCTGGTGGAGGGATTGGCAGAGAGGGCTGGAGGACAAGGAATGAAGCCGGTGGAGGGATTGGCAGAAGGAGGAAGCAGTCAACTGATGGTTGACTCTGGAAGTAGCATCCATGAAGGACTGAAAGAGAAGGAGTTGCAGTAACCAGGCAGAAATAACCAGAGAGTGAATTAGTAGCTTTGTGGTGTCATTGATTGGGAAGGGATGTTTTTTGGTAATATAGAGGTGAAGGCAGCAAGACTTACACAGTGATTGTATGTGAGGCTGGAAGGATAAGTCAGAGTTCAGGATTACACCTAGCAGCCTGGCATGTGGGGTGAGACTGATAGTTGAGGTGAAGGAAATATTATGCTCCCAATTTTGGACAGACTGAGACTGAGGAAGTGGTGTGACATCCATACTGATATGTCAGTTAGCACATTAGTGATGCACAAGGAGTCACGTGGTGACCAGAGGAGTAGAGAAATAGATTTTGGTGTCATCAGCCTAGAAATAGTATTGGAAGCCGCGGGAGGTCACCAGCTGACCCAGGAAGGAGATGTCTTGCAATGATGAGGGCTAAGAAGCCTGAAATAGCTGAAAACGACTCTGGAGGAGAATGGGTTACAGAAAGCTTCCTTTATATATGTAATAGAAGCTGTAGATGAATAAAACTCAAGGAAAATAGCAGTGCAGACCAAAGAGTAGGGTGAAGAAGATGAAAACGGCTCAGGAGGACTCCAAAGGGTTTCTGGAATTCTGCATTCTCTAGCAACGTAGTAGGGTCAGGTTAGGCAATATTTTTTTTGTAGTTATGCTTTTGTCATGAGGTTCTCCTTCCACCGGCTGGAGAAATGAGCGTGCTGTGAGCTCCGTCTGGCTGTATTCATATCACAAGACTGAACAAACTGCAGAAAGAAGTTTAATTAATAGTACAAGATTAGAGCCTTTGAGTCAACTTCCAGCAGAACTCCGAGCTTTGCCACTTCCTACATTGACTGTTCTAAGGTTCCTCATTATAAATGGATTTTTTTGGATTTGTTTTTTTATCTGACACACATATTTGGCAGTGTTTTATAACGTGTAGTCACATTAACATCAGCCCAGAGGAGTTCCAGGGGAGTTCCTACAATAATGGTACAAATCATACTCATTTCAGAGCCAGTTTGATTATGAGCTTGTAGTTGAAGGCAGGTTGCCTACAAGTGGGTTCTGTTTTCAGCTAGTCAGTAATCTGCCCAGGTGGGGAAGGGGTTAACCTTACTGGTCTCCTTTCCCAGGCTTACCTGCTGTGATCTAAAAACAGGGAAAAGTTGGGCCTGAAAGAAGCCGCTCATGCTCTGACCTGAACCTGCTGCAATTGACTGGAGGCAGTAAAGAATTTCCATTGGAACACCAGACTGCCAGAGAATTACCTTTCAGGTAGGGAATGCCAGTTATCGACTTATTCCTGTGACAAGGTATGCCTGGGCAGCTAGAGGCTAGATACTCTAAATTGTTTGCACGTCTTTGTGTTCTTTATGGACTCGTTTAAAGCACCTTCAGTAAAGTTCTTAAAGGTGTTGAGCCTGGTATGAAGTTATTCAAAGCGGTACGTGGTAGATATTGACGTATGAGAATAACAGGGACTGTAAAGTACTATGGGGTATGAAGAAAGGCCTCTACTGGAGGTTAACTCAGCAATACAGAAGAAAGTAGTTTCTATGGGTAAGGGGTAACTAGTGCAAGGTACATAGCAGCCAGTCGGAAGTATGATACCTGGCGTAGGTGACGGGTCTTCCTGTAGCGAGGGGGTCGGTGAACCTTCTTACTCCCCAGCAGTCGGTTCCCTTGAGCTGAGGACTGAACTCGCGTTACGGAGACCCATGACCTAGCCACATGGTACAGGAGAGTGTAAGGAGTTAACTAAGAGCATGCATGAGGTCTGCACAGGTGCTTGGCGGGATCCCATTCTGTCACTGGGAGTGAGGTGGCAGAGGCACACTGGACTGGTGGAGAGGGCACGGGCTCTGCAAGGTCCTTTCTAAAAGCAAGCGCTTCACAGCAAGGTGTATAGTGACACGGGACAGTGTGTTTCACACGGGGACTCTGTACAGCTAGCTACAGCACACAGTGTATGGCTCATCTCTATTTTCGGGTATCCCTATAATGTTTGACTTCACATGAACACTGCCCCACCTAGTGCCTGGGCATTGACGAGAGTGCACATGTCAAAGGTACCCTCATGCATAGGGTGCAGTAGGTCCAACCACAAGCTGGTCAACCTAACTGGTTTGGTTCATGGAAGGAAATCCATGGTCCCAAAGAAGAACATGCAAACACAGAAAGAATGTGTCAACATCATGCAGAGAGAGTGACTGTTCAGAATGAAAGCACAGAATTGAATCTGGAAGCTCATAGGTCTCACTAGCATGGACGGCCTAGATACAACAATAAATTCCCCCATTGCCCAACCTGAACACCACTCACATATCATTTAGCAAGTGAGACGATACGAAAATGGAGCTATACTATTCTTAACCAGGGTTCCATGGAATTCTCCGGAGGTTGCTAGGGGGTCCTTGACCTATGGCTGATTGACCCCTCATCTGATGGTGCCTCCATACTTCATCCAACACCACTTGGCAGAGCCATCAGCATGACACCAATGATCTTTTTTTATCTGTAAGGGTGACACTCTGACCACCACTGGTAATGAACATTTTTACTAATGATCACTGTCATGAGTTCACCCACACGCCACGCCCACAGCGACTAGCTAACCGAGGAGTGCACATGCGGCCGTGACTTGGGGTAAGAGGGAATAAGAGGGACTTAACTTTGAATATATAAAACCATATATAGGACCAGCCGTGACACATTTTCACAGCCCGCACTACCTCTTGGCCACCAACGGAGGGAGACTTCACTCCAATCCAACTGGCTAACCACACACTGGCAGATACAAATCTTACATACAATCTGATGAACTAACTAGGGTTGAGGACCAGCTTAGCAATCACACCCTTCTAGGATCCCTCCAGCTATCCTACAAGCCAGAACCCCGGTGTTAATCACCCTTCCACCGTTCACCCTTCCCCCCCCGCACCAGACACACCACAAAAGGTAGCCTGCCACTATCCAACAGTTTATCCGCAGAACGGTCTGCTGGGACACCACACACACGCAGATCTCAGTCTGGCTGATCTCTTACCTTTACAATCTGCATGCAATCTGCCAACACACAGTGCAATTGCATACAGATTGGCAATGAGCTTGACCAAGCGTATAAAGACACTAACATACAATACAATCTAATCTCTCCAATCTAATCTCTCCGGAGATATGAGCCTGAGCTTAAATACACAGAAGTCACTTATTCATTTTAAGATTTAATTTCCCGAAAGTGGGCGGAGCATAAAATATGTACAAAGTATAAAACGTTACAGAAAATACAAAAAATACAAGAACACACACAAATGACTATTCACTATAAAAAAAAAAGGAATAAAAAAAACAGAAATAAAACTTTTACCAAGATTTATCCTGCTACTGGAGCAAGTCAGAGCGTCCGTAATCCGTTTGTCGATCTAACCAGCTCCATATGAATCACACCGTCCCAATGTCAGGGTCCTCAATTTATGGGGATATGGATGTAGGCAGGACATTAGTCCTCGGCCAATTGACCCTGGGGGGGTGTTCCAGTACCTGCCCACAGGCTGTTCTGGGTGCTGAACTGCCCAAAGTCAATTGGACCAAGACCGGCTTGAATCACCAAGTCGGGGATTGAATTTCCGACACCAGCGCATCAGTCCGATCACGAGAGTACCAATCACTGTTCAACTACCACACTCCAGCGCCACCTAACCATTTCCTGCATTTTCCTGGAATTCTACATAGGCCACAAATATAGTTTTTATATGCAGATGGAGCCCACAGAGTGCCCAATCAGAAGGAAGTATTTTCATCTCTCTGCAACTAATATTCTAACTTGTATGAGTGATGAAACATACTCCTTTGATGTATGTATATACGTTAGAGCTCCCCAGACAGATTGGAGCCCCCCGGGTGTCATGAAGCTGAAACGTTTGCGTTTCTCTTTTAAACTTCAGGAAGATGGCCGAGTCTGATTAGATATATATAGACAAATCTTATTAGCACCCACGTGTCACTTCCAGCCTGAGGAAACTCTGTCTCCTTTAAAATGCTAATTGATGACCATATGCCTCTGCGTATGACTGAATATTTCTTTCATGATAAGGACTGAACTATATTTACGATTACATTTTGCTACAGGTCACATTTCAGCTACTCAAATCTGTACAATCACCAATAAAAAAAGAGCATTCTTCGTACTGATCAGAAATTTAGGGGGCATTTTGTCACTGGTCCCCAATGAATGGGGTAAGGGTTTTCTTTAGCCGAGGTTTTCTCCGGGGTAAAAAGGACGAGAAAGGCTGCTTTAGCCTAACAAAACAGGAGGCAGCAAGGCTTTTACTGCAAATCAGACGTACTTCTGTGTGTGTCTTCTGCAATAAAACCTTCTTACCTGCCTGCTTGCAATCTTCTTAGAATGTACACTGAGCTGTGCGTCCAGATTACATTCTCAGCGTTCATTGCTGCCAGGTTATAGGAATTCCCGTGCAAATGTGCGGGAGTTACATCACCCCAGCCTGGCCAATCAAGATGGCCGATTATCCCAATTGGGTAAAGAAGACTAGATGGAAATGCCGGTGGTGGCAAAGGGAGGTGAGTACAGTTCCTCTTCACAGACAACTTCACGAGGAGAGAGCATTGGGTTCAATTAGAACTCCAGCCTGAACCTAACTAGTCCCTACCATTTCCTTCCCCATCCTAGAACCTGTGTTGACTAACCTGTGTAATAAAGATGTATATACTTACCTATTTCCAGTCTGCTCTGGCCTGGTCATGTGATAGCCTGTGTCAGCCACTGGCGGCTGCAGGGGAGAAGAGAGAATGCTTGACCATGACTGGGAGCAGTGATGTCACCCATAGGCTCCCACGGTCCATCCATTGTTGGCGCTCCCTCCTCTCTCCTGCAGCCTCCAGTGGCTAACACAGGGGAGCCGGATCATGTGACTGAACCGGAGCAGGCTGAAAATAGGTGCGTACAGGGCTTGTTTTCAGTGGGAACGCGAGGAATGCAGTTCCGGCACCTCCATCATTGAACGTATGTAATGGCAAGGGGTGCTGGGGTGTGCTGGAGGATCTGTTGCTGGCTGCTGCTGGATCTATTGTCACTGAAGGGGATCTATTTTTGTGTGGTGATCTATTGTTGCTGGGAGGTCTGTTGTTGTTGCTGGTGGGGGATCTATTATTGATGGGGGTAATTTGTTGCTAGAAGGAATCTACCATTGAGGGAGATGCCCATTGTCAATTGTTGCTGGCTGCTGCAAAGTCTATTGATGCTGGCTGCTGGGGGATCTATTGTCACTGAAGGGGATCTATTTTTGTGTGGTGATCTATTGTTGCTGGGAGG